TATGCAAACCAACTTTTAAAAACTAAACTACGTACTGTTAAGAGTTAGTGGTGTGGTTACAAAGCTGTCCTAGTGGGAGTGGGCAGTATGTTCTTTTTCTAGGAGGTTAATGACCACCATGTCGAGTGTGGCTTTTGTAAACCTACTTGAAGCTATTTGTAATCCCCCCCCCTTCCGTGGATAGGGGGACTCAGTAGTTACCCTTTCAGGGGTGGTGGTAACCAGAACTTGATTTGCCCCTTGCAATACTCAGGAAAAAGCTAACATTGTTCCAGATCTGTCTCCCAGCTGAGATTGACAAAACTGTTAAGGCTGGTTATTCCTAAACTGACAAATGTAACACTAGAAAGTTCTATAAAATGGGACAGTTCAGTGGGACACTGTCACTTGAAATTTGGGCAGCTTGAAAAAAGAATCCAAAGTTGTTTCACACTCTACAATTGCCCCAGAGACCTGCTAGTCAATGTATGGCTTTACAATCACATTAAAAATGTTCCCATTTCCTCTGTGAATTAATCCAGTACCTGCTTTGAGTTCCACACAAACAACAGGAGACATAGCCAAGCACAGTGTGGTCCAATTTGCAAAGTAAAGTTTTGAAGTGAGGCAAATCTAGAGTTACAGTAGTCTCAGGTGCTATGTCTACCAGCAGGCATGTTTCCAGGCTGAACTGTGCTTTTTAAGGTAATAGTGTTCCGTTTGCTGAATTTTAAAACAATAACAGTTCCCTGCTGTTAGAATATGACAAATCTAGAAGTCTCAATAGTGGAGTTTGCCTTGTCCCTGCGGGCAAGCATATCTGCACTTGTAATAAATTGCATATCCATGCTTCATTTACACTGTGATATGGTTTAGCAAAATCCATTACTCTGCATCAGAAAATGAAGAAAAATGCCAAATCTGCTCTTGGGATGCTGCAGAATTGAATAATTGGTAAATCTTACTGTGGTACGAAATTGTCACTGCATATGCAAAACCAATGTGGTACTGGAATATGAAAGGAATTGGAAACAAGGATTATTTTTCTATGCACATAACAGAATGGGTTTGGAGAGGGCTTACTGTCATTGTGTTAATGCCCAAAGGTAAAAGGGGCATGAGATTGTGATGAAACATTGTTCAAAAGAAGGCTTAACTCAGCACAGCACTTGCAACATTCAGCAGTGGGGAGCTGTGGAAAAAGGCCTTATGTGAACTGGGCATACAGTCTATTAGATTTTCCAAGCTACCTATCTCCTTATTTAACCTTTCAATTCAGCAACATGATTACCAAGTTAGAAGAGAATTTAATAGAATTGCTATAAAATAATTGATTGCTATGAATGGACTTTACTTTCTCCTGTTCTGGGCTCTTGTTTTCCAAAACTAGCTTCACAGTCTTATTCATGTGCCGAAGCCATGCAGGCAACTCTTGCAGGTGGCTGCTCTTTAATCATCACTGTTTCTGATCTCTGTTCTTTGCATTTGATCTGCAAGATCATTAACTTCCGCTTGCTCCTCTTCAGGAATGGCATCCTCTGCTTCCGGTACCGCCTCCAATTTGGGCACTGCTTTAAACTCAGTTTTGTAATCTGGTCTCTCGGGCTTAGCTTCCCCAATGGGGTCTATTTCCGGTTTGTGCTCTGACTTCACCTTGCCAAGATTCCGAGAACACTCTCCTTCTTTTACAAATGAAGTTGCTGAAGGAACTCTGGATTTTGCAGTCTGCATCCAAATATGATTTAAAATCTCATCTATGGTCAACCTCCGAGCTACGTCCGGCTGCAGCATGCGGTAAATAAGATCTTTGCATTCAACTGTCAAATTTTTAGACTTGGGAAAGTGCACTCTGTGTTCTTTCTGAATCTTTAGCATTTTTCTAATGTTTGAGTCATCATATGGCATTGACCCACAAACCATAATGTACAAAATTACACCCAGACTCCATATATCATAAATCTTAGGCTGATAGGGAATGCCTTGTAACACTTCAGGGGCTGCATATGCAGCAGAACCACAGAAGGTTTTACTGAGAATAACTTTGCCATTTTCATCTCGAGTCAGTCGTCTGGAAAAGCCAAAATCTGACAGTTTGATACTAAAGTCTTTGTCTAGAAGGAGGTTCTCACATTTCAAGTCCCTGTGGACAATATCCAAATCATGGCAGTACTTGATGGCAGAAGACAACTGGCGAAACATCTTGCGAGCTAGCTCCTCAGAGATGGCCCCTTTGCTCTTGATGAACTCCAGTAAGTCTCCTTTTGTACCCAGCTCCATCACAATGTAGACTTTGCCATCAGAGGTCTCAAAAATCTCATAGGTCTTGACCACGGAGCAGTGATTGACTTTGGCCAAAATCTCTATTTCTCTTGGGAGAAATCTTTCCAGGAAGTCCCGAGGAGCTTTTTTCCGGTCTATGATTTTTACTGCTACATCGAATTTCAGTCGATCAGAGTAGGCAGATTTCACTTTAGCATAAGACCCTTCTCCCAGATTTCCTCCCATGATGTAGCCTCTTTTTTTAAGGACTGCAGCATCATCCATGGTGCCAGAGGCAACGAGTGATTCATAAGTTGAAGTTGACTGTGCATCACGTATGCCAGAAGCCTGTTGTTATATGTTCCATAGTGGCCATCTGAAATGCTCTGCTTTTCTTGAGTTGGATGATGTAGAATCTTCAGCATTGTTTAATGTATGATGTGGGGCTGTGATGTCACAAAGCACAGCTGCTGTTACTAGGGGTTAGTGAATTAAAATGCCTTTTTCAGTCTTACTGTAAAGCCTCTGGTGGTTGCCAAGAATCAAGTCAACATTCCAGTACATCATCTACAACAGCAGTTACCTTGTTTGTATTGTAGCATGGTAAAATGCTTGTTCTGTTCACACTCACAAGAGCAGAAGAGGAGTAATTGAAGTATTTTTCCATTCTTTGACCATGGAAGGTATTTGATTCCTGTGGTTTGATCTTTATATGCTGCTTACTCCATTCTGTATTTTTGATAATAGCATGTCTAAGAGAATTGATTACTTTCAATTATAGAATACTTTTTGTGTGACTTGTGAAAGTAAAATCAATACAAAGGGAAGCTATAGAATAACATGCGCACACAAACACACACATTCAGAGTTCTAGGGTACAGCTTCCTCTTTAATAACATTTCTAAAACTGGACAAAGATTTAAGAGGAGATAAAATGAGGCTTCTAAAATGCATTCTGGTTGCTGTAGCATAAAAACTAATAAAATCACCTGTTCAGAAAATACTCTAAAACCTTTTCTAAAATAAGTATAGCATAGCCAAGAGGAATTAAATATTCAACATCTTGAAGCTTTGGGCCATTGAAATGTAATAAATTAGAACAATCTTTACTTTGTTACTACTATTGCTCTTAAATGTTCAGTTTTGATAATCTGATTAGCCAGGGACCATTTTCGCTGTTTTGTTTTGTTTTTTGTTTGTTTTTTGCATTTTACTCTATTAGGGCAATCCGAGCTCAATGCATTAATTGCATTATCTGGCATTTATGGAGCTCAGTGTTTTTAGTGTCCAGAACCGCAGCAGAATGTTGAAATTACAAAATAAATCTTTATCATAGAAGCTACATTGTTTGTGTTATATATGCTTTCACATCTTTTTATATAGGACTTTTCTGGGATTTATTAATTCCATTGTGGGATGGTTATTTTTAGCAATTTTAGTTTTGTCGATAAATTGGGGCTTTCTCTTACCATATGCATAAGAACATAAGAACGGCCGTACTGGGTCAGACCAAAGGTCCATCTAGCCCAGTATCCTGTCTACCGACAGTGGCCAGCACCAGGTACCCCAGAGAGGGTTGAACGAAGACCATGATCAAGCGATTTGTCTCCTGCCATCCCTCTCCAGCCTCTGACAGAGGCCAAGGACACCATTTTATCCCCTGGCTAATAGCCTTTTATGGACCTAACCTCCATGAATTTATCCAGCTTCTCTTTAAACTCTATTATAGTCCTAGCCTTCACAGCCTCCTCTGGCAAGGAGTTCCACAGGTTGACAAGAGGAGGACTGGATAGTTGGAAGTACCATCCAACAATCGGATAGATATATGACTGACCGGAGAGGTCAATCTGAGTCATCAGTATAGAACTAGTAGCTAAAGCCCTGTGGTTAGATGAGGTTGCCAAGAGATTAAGAGAGAGGAGACCAGGACTAAGGGCAAAGCATTCAGGGAGGGAGAAGGGTAGTTTGGTGTAGAGGGGAAGTTTCACTTACTAGACTTATGTTCTATTTTTCCCTCTTGGGGCCCTGAATCCTAGTTTAAGGGTTGATTTGATATTTTTTAAGTTGGTAAATGTGCCTGGACTCCATTTTTGGGGATTCTATTTTGGTCATAGGTACTGAAAAATATTCAGCTTCATGTTGGACAGGGAGATATTTCATAGATTTAGCATGAGGCTGTCTTCCAGTGAGAGAGTATTTTATAGTCAGTGCTGGGACAGTTGGCAGGCGGAGTGACTGGCTTTGAGGGTTTGGGGGTTTTCTTAATTTTAGCAAAATGATGTCAACATCTGGAAAAGTTCTAAATCTAATGTTACAATATTAAAATGCAAAAATCTTTGGAGATTACCAGCTTGATTAATTGCTAACTTTCAAAAACGTTCTCATGCATTGACTTGCATGAGAACAAATAGAATTAAGTATTAGGTAATCTTCTGATTTATCTGCAGCATTTATTATAGGAGGCACTGGTAGTGATGCCTATAGTTGCCTAACACTTTCTGTTACACTCAGAGGGGTAGCAATGTTAGGGTATGTTTCCACTGCGGTGTTTTTTTGGAAAAATGGCCGTTTTTCTGAAAAACTTCAATTACATCCACACTGCAATTGCACTCTTCCGAAAGAAAATCGAAAGAACAGAGGGGTTTTTCCAACATTGGTAATCCTCTTTCTATGAAGAAGAAGCCTTTTCCTGAAAGAGCTCTTTCGGAAAAAGGCATGTGTGGACGGGGAAGAGGGAGTTCTTTCGGAAGAAGAGGAGAATGGAAAAAGCACAGGTGCCCTGGTGGCCACTCCATCCATGCTAATCACAGTTTAAATGCGAGATAGTGTCCATTCAGTGTGGACACTATCTTTCGACAAAGCAGATCACTTTTTCGATGAGCTTTGACATTGTGGATCTCTTCTGGAAAAGCTAGTAATTTAGATTTTGTAACTTGCTTATAAAAGTAAAATATACTGAGTGTGGTACTGTTTCAAACAGCACTATGTAATGCACATGAGGGAACTTTTCAGGGTCCATGTACACCACTAGGGTCACCATGTGAGTGTGTTTGAGATCACACCTCAGAAATACACTTTACTGCTCAGTGTAAACAAGCCCTTTCTGGTGTTTTTGGAGATAAATGCTGCTTTTGTTGTTCTATAGTGGAAGTGTTTTTAAACAATCTCTCTATTAAGTCCTCACCGTTCTTGTCTGTCTGTCATGGGATTTTCAACTTTTCCCTCTTGTGCACCTAGAGCAGTGTTTCTCAACCAGTGGTATGAGTATCCTCAGGGATACTCAAGAGAAGTCTGCGGGGTATATCAACACAACTGAAATTTGGAGAAAATGGATTTTTTTGTTAAGTTTTACAGCGCTTTATTATTTTTGTACTTTTTACACCCAAAAATTTCACCGGCTGCCCAGCTCTGATTAAGTTGTTTAAACAAATGTGTTGCAATGGTAGATATCAAATTACCCAGTAGCAAACTGCCACCAGTGCCATAGTGCTATCATTCATAGTATTTCTCTGACTGCCTGGTAAGGTCTAGAATTTTCTGAAGTGGACGGGTCAAATTTAATGTGGATACAATTTAAATAAAAATAAAAGTTTAGCTCTTTTTTTTTTTTAAAGAAGTGAGTCCTGAGCTGTGTTTACAAAAGAGGTCAGCAAACATCAGTTCCCAGCCTGCTAGGGGTAAGACACTGCCGTGTTTGATTTATTTGCTTGCACCGTCTATAAGCAAAGAGCTCTCCACTCCCATTGGCTGCTGTTTGCTGTTGCCACCCAATGGCTCTTATGGGAAGCGGATTGGGCTGAGTGATGGACTGGCTGCCATTTCTCAGTTTCTGTTGGCTAGAAACAGTGAATCACAGACAAGGGGAGCTGAAAGACTCCATCCTTGCAGATTCTCTAGGTTAAACAAAGTCTCTCGACATGCCAGTGGTTTATGCTGATGAACTGAGACTGGAAGTTTGCAATCAGCCAATACAGAGCCAGCTTATGAATGGTCCATCACATTTTTAACATTTTTTTTTAACATGGGGGGGTGGGTTGGCTTATGAACAAATGGTCTATGATCAAGTAAATAGTAACAGAATACAAAAATAATTTAAAGACAATCTTTCTAAAAGCGCATCAAAAGACTGAAAATAAAGTTTTCAGCTATCAATTTAGGAGAAAGATTGGGTGGCTAAGTCTGATTCAAGATAGTTACAAACTGTAAGCCATCCAATCTTTGTCCTAAATTGATAGCTGAAAACTTTATTTTCAGTCTTTTGATGCGCTTTTAGAAAGATTGTCTTTAAATTATTTTTGTATTCTGTTACTATTTACTTGATCATAGACCATTTGTTCATAAGCCAACCCACCCCCCCATGTTAAAAAAAAATGTTAAAAATGTGATGGACCATTCATAAGCTGGCTCTGTATTGGCTGATTGCAAACTTCCAGTCTCAGTTCATCAGCATAAACCACTGGCATGTCGAGAGACTTTGTTTAACCTAGAGAATCTGCAAGGATGGAGTCTTTCAGCTCCCCTTGTCTGTGATTCACTGTTTCTAGCCAACAGAAACTGAGAAATGGCAGCCAGTCCATCACTCAGCCCAATCCGCTTCCCATAAGAGCCATTGGGTGGCAACAGCAAACAGCAGCCAATGGGAGTGGAGAGCTCTTTGCTTATAGACGGTGCAAGCAAATAAATCAAACACGGCAGTGTCTTACCCCTAGCAGGCTGGGAACTGATGTTTGCTGACCTCTTTTGTAAACACAGCTCAGGACTCACTTCTTTAAAAAAAAAAAAGAGCTAAACTTTTATTTTTATTTAAATTGTATCCACATTAAATTTGACCCGTCCACTTCAGAAAATTCTAGACCTTACCAGGCAGTCAGAGAAATACTATGAATGATAGCACTATGGCACTGGTGGCAGTTTGCTACTGGGTAATTTGATATCTACCATTGCAACACATTTGTTTAAACAACTTAATCAGAGCTGGGCAGCCGGTGAAATTTTTGGGTGTAAAAAGTACAAAAATAATAAAGCGCTGTAAAACTTAACAAAAAAATCCATTTTCTCCAAATTTCAGTTGTGTTGATATACCCCGCAGACTTCTCTTGAGTATCCCTGAGGATACTCATACCACTGGTTGAGAAACACTGCTCTAGGTCACAACACAAACTCTTGCACCCCTACCCTAGGTCACAACCCAAACCCCTGCACTGTCTCCTGTACTCCAAACCCCTGTCCCAGATCATAATCCCCTCCTGACCTGGGTCACAATCCAAACCCATGCATGCCAGTCCAGTGCCCCAGGTCACAACTACCTCCTTCACCAACATTCCCTCCCAGATCCCACACAGTCTCCTGCATTTCAGTCCTTTACCCCTAAGCTCCCTTCTGCACACAACCTTCATCCCAGTCCCCATACCTTCTCCATTTATATCATGGAAGAGTGCAGTCCTTGACCACTTTCTAAATTCTTGGAGTGGCCCACCCATCACAAATTATTGCCTAGGCAATCTAAAAATACAATGTGCAGAATTGATGAAATCTTGAATAAAACTTAAATAGCCTATCATCACCCCGGACATGCCAATCTGCAGGGCTTCTTTGCAATAAACAATGAACGCTTATAATCTGACAGTGATAAAGCGGGTGACGTTCCTCTATAAAGTTCTTCAAAATCTATACATTATTTTCTAAGATTTTCATACTAGAGTTTAAAATGAACAACGGTGAAATCAAAAGGAAACGGTTTGCTCATGATGCAGTATTTAAACTTAACATTGATGAATATGCAAAAGCAAACAATAATTGTGCTGCTGCTGGTGAATTCTGTGTTCATGAGAGCAGGTAAGAGAATGAGGAAAAAATTAAAGCAACACGAAAAGACATTCCAAGAAGCAAGAAAAAATCTCCAACACTGTGCACTTCATTTCCTGGGCTGAAAAAAGATCTCAATGATTGGGTTGTTGAATGTTGACAAAACGGGAACCTTGTCACTAGAACCGGAATTCGTCTGCGTGCTTTCCAAATGTCAAAAGATGATCAAAACAAGTCAGAAAAACCATCGGTGTTTATTGCATCAGCGGGTTCGTGTACTCACTTCATGAACAACCATGGTCTCTGTCTTCAGCAATGAACAAAGATAGTGCAAAAACTGCCGAGAGACCTTGAAGAAAAAATTGAATCTTTCCAAAGGTATACTATAAAACATCGAAAGGAATGTGCATTTGAGCTGTCACAAACAAGAAATATGGATGAAGCACAGATGACATTTGATCTCCCAAAAAACAGAACAGTAATTGGTGGGGATGAAAAAACAGTTTTAATTAAAACCCTTGGCCATGAAAAAATCCATTTTACAGTGGTTTCATCATGTTTGGCCAATGGATAAAAGCCAGTGTTTCCTCTAACATTGTCTATCCTGGGGAAGGTTGAAATTTCTTATGTGCAACACCAATATTGAGGTTGTGTGTGGATGTGCACCACCAAT